TTCACATTATAGATAAAGAAAAAAGACACAGGCTTCATTCTGTTTTGCTTTTGTGAATGTGTGAAGACTTCATTGACAAACACTGAGAAACACAAAACACAAGTTTTTCACACCAACGTGTGATACTCTCTCCCTCCCTACCACCTTCCGTGTGTGTGTGTGTGTGTGTGTGTGTATGTGTGTATTACGATATGTATTGATGCACACCACAGCGTGCATGTAGAGGCCAGAGAACAACTTTCAGAAGTCTGTTCCCTCTTTCCAGAGTAGAATCTGCTGCTTCATTGTGCGTCCTTACACAGGGTCTCACTGTGTAGCTCTGGACGGCCTGGAACGTCCTCTGTAGATTTGACTGGCCTCAAATTTAGAGAGAGCCCCTCTCTAGTGATGGAATTAAAGGCTTGTGCCCCTATGCATGGCCCTCTAGCTCCACTTTGGTGTCTTGGTGAAGTCGTGTATCCTGTGACAGACGGATAAAGAGAAAATAGGAGGTTTTGCTGGAAGTAAATTCGTCAGCTGAGCTCCCAGCTTTTCTTAAATCCAGCTATTCTTCTCATGAGATTACAGCATATAAAAGACAAAAACTATGCTAATAAAAGTGAACTTCCCCTCCCCCACCCTTTCTCCTCCTCCTGAAGGGTCTGAAGTATCTTACAGGAAGCATAGAACAGAGCTGAGAAGAACAGAACCCCCTTTCCTCTAAGGGCTTCAGAACCCCGTTCTGGACTCTTGTTTCCAGAAAGACCTCCCACAGAGTCAGTATCTGCTCCTCTGGCTAGAAAAGATGTCTAAGGGAGGCACATTATTCAGAATAGGAACTAATATTGAAACTTTGAGATATGTATTTCCATCAAGGAACATACTTATTTCCATCTTAAAATACACTGTCAATTCTCTGCTTAATCATTACAGATAGTAAAGAAAAACCGAAATAGATGTTGAAAGGAAGTGAGCAAAGTGGTAACACAGAATGGAAATCTAAAGCTTTGAAAACCTGAGGGAAGGGGTTTGCAACACAAGGAAGCCTGTGCTGTTTCCCTTCTACTTGGAATTCTGATAGGGTGCACTCTTTATTACCAACACATGTTTCGCTTTGTTTTCTTACCCACCCCACAAATAAACCCAAATGGTTAGATTTTCCCACACAACATAATAAAGGAGAAAGTGCAGTTTAAAAAAAGACAAGTAAACAAACCATATAATCATGTCTTAGTTTCATTTCTTTATATTAGATATATTTTTTAATGTATGTATTTATTGATTTTGGTTTTTCAAGAGAGGGTTTCTCTGTATATTCCTGGCTGTCCTGGAAGTCTGCCTCTGCCTCCCTAATTCTGGAATTAAAGGCATGTGCCGCTGCCACCCGGCTCTTAGGTATTTTAAAAGTTATTTTCTCGTATGAGGTCCCCAAATATGCTGGGCAAGCATGCTACCAAGCTCTGAAGTAAATGTTATTTTAAACTCAGCAAACTTTTAGGAAAACTAGTCTTCAGAGTTTAAGCATCATGGGATTGGGGGAGGAAGGCTTAGATTAGAAACATAGGTTCTGTGAGGCTACAGACATGGCTCAGCAGTTATGAGCAAGTACTGGGGCAGAAGAGCCAAGTTTTGTCCTCAGCACCCATTTCCAGGGGCTCTCAACCACTTGTTACTCCAATTCTAGAAGCTCAAGACCAAACCATAACACAACAAGATCCTGATGGAAGAAGAATGGGAAGGAGTTGCTTTTGCCTTGTAGACACATCACATGTATTTATAACAAGAAAATCAATAAAATAATGTGCACCTTGGCTATAGGCAGTGTATTTTCTTACACCAGAATATGGACTCAAGACCAGCCTGGACTACCTACCAGTGTCCAGTGTAGAGTGTAGAGCTGTCACTGCAGTGATCTCAGCTCTACAGTCATCTCAGCATTCCGGGGATTAAGTGCCCTGAAAGTTTTAGGGTCCAGACTCAGGCAGAGCCAGTACGCGTGATTTCAACACAGAACAAGTTTCAGGCCGCGCGGTGGTGGTGCACGCCTGGAATACCAGCACCAGGGAGGCAGAGGCAGATGAAGCTCTGTGAGTTCGAGGCCAGCCTGGTCTAGAAGTCAAGTTCCAGGATAGCCAGAGCTGTTACACAGAGAAACCCTATCTCAACAAAACAAAACAACAACAACAAAAAAAGAATTTCAGGACTAATCAGTATGAGGCAGAGTTGGGGTTTGATTTAAGATAGGAAGAAATGTTCTCAAGAAAATAAGAGAAGCACGTGAGGGCACAGGCTTGGGCTTCTCCGAGCTGCAGTTTATCGCTCCACATTTTATGATGGATTGTATTTTATTTTTTTAAAATGTTCAGCAGTCTTTTTTTTTTAATATCTATTTATTATGTATACAATATTCTGCCTACACGTATGCCTGCAGGCCAGAAGAGGGCACCAGACCTCATTACAGATGGTTGTGAGCCACCATGTGGTTGCTGGGAATTGAACTCAGGACCTTTGGAAGAGCAGGCAATGCTCTTAACCTCTGAGCCATCTCTCCAGCCCCTTATCATGGATTCTAAGCGACAGGAGGAAACAGACTCTAAAGCAGTGGTTCTCAACCTTCCTAATGCTGTGACCCTCTAATACAGTTCCTCATGCTGTGGTGATCCCCAATCATAAAGTTTTCTTTCGATGCACTTCATAACTGCAATTTTGCTACTGTTACAAATCGTAATGTAAATACCTTTGAAGATAGAGATTTGCTGAAGGGGTCATGACTCACAAGTTGAGAACCAAATATCTGCGCATTTCTATATTGTTACAAACTGTGAGTCCGAGGTAAAAAAAAACCAGCTTCCTCTCGCTCACTTCTCATTTAACTTTATGTGTAACTCAAACTCAACTGCATGTATGTGTACATGTACTGTCAAAAAAAATGCATTAAACAGCTACAGTGGTTTCTCAGTTGTAATGATCTCTGTTCACTGTATCTCCTCCCAGGCAAAGGAAGCAATAAGTCTCAAGTATTTTAAATGATGATAAATATATGGTTAAATCTGTTTCAACATGCTGGGGATGTGATTCAATGCTACTCTAAAATACATTTGATATAAAAATAAAAATTTAAGGTTAGGGACTGGAGAGATGGCTTAGTGGTTAAGAGCACTGACTGCTCTTCAAGAGTCCCTGAGTTCAATTCCCAGCAACCACATGGTGGCTCACAGCCATCTATAATGTAGACCCAGCGCCCCCTTCTGGCAAGCGGACACACATGGAAGGAATGATGTACACATAATAAATAAATAAATCTTTAAAAAAAATTTAAGGTTATAAAGATTATTCCAGATTAGCAGAAGCTGACCTATAGACTTTCCTGTAAGCTGTTCTTCACAGTGGTTTGTTAAGCTTCTACTGCGAACAATTTTTCCTTCTTTGTCTTTCACAAGTATAAATCTCACCTGCTAAGTTAAAAGCCAGTACAGCCAAGCTGGAGGACTCTGGATAAAACATTCCTCCCCCACCTCTCAGCTCTCCAGGCAGATCCTACACTGTAGTCATAACATGTATAATCAATAGCCAGCCATCAAATGCTGAGAGATCTGCGGAATATGGCATCTCGATGTTTAATCAAAAAGAGTTTTCATAGCAGAAAAGCAGGTGGGCTCCTGGCAGCAACCCCATTCCCCCCTAAGAAGATAGAAGACAGATGGCCACAGAACAATGTCCATCCGTAGTTCACTTCAAGTGAAAGCTAACCACGAGGGAGAACTGCCTTTCATCACAACTGCTGAAGACATCCAGGCAGTGAGCAAAGAAAAACTGGAATCAACTGCCTGGTTGCTCAGGGCAGGGTAGGCTAGTAGTCCTGAAACAAAGAGAAACATGTCCCCGGCAATGCTGACACATGCATGGGCAGCCTGTTTATATGGGGTTTCATGGTCTGAGTTGATAAGGATGATTGACCAGGTCTCTTCCTCAAAGAACAGGTTCCACCGAGATACTAACTCAGATTCCTGGATTCAGAGTCCAGAGCACTAACCATTACACCATGGGAGCTGGTTCAGGCTAGTATTCCTAAAAATTCCTAACCACAAGCTCTTCCAAAGCCTGGCAGGCCCCACGCTAACAGCAGAAGCCCTGAAGCCCTGGCCCTCAACAACCATGGAGGACCCTGGGGAGTGGTTGTCTAGGTAGCCAATCAAGTAAGTTCTCCGCCATTTTTAAATCAATAACTCAGGTAAAAATTTATCCTTCTCGAGAACTCTGGTGCAGTTTGATGGCTGGGAGGTTTTGCCAGTCTAAAAGGGACAACCTCACAAAACGGACTTCAGCATAACTTCTTACCATGTTAAAATAAAAGGTGTTTTGGGATGCAAGGCTCAGGATGTGAGGATCTAGCAATGTTTTAGGGTGCAAAAAGGTGTTTTAAGGTGTACACATGCAAGTGACTTATGGTGTGTACATGCACGTTATTAAGGTCGGAGGATAAAAATGTTTCAGAGCACAGGAATGTTTAAGGTGTACACATGCAAGCGATCAGATCTCTCTCTCACTGCTGCTCACAGTCTTAACATTAACCAATAAACTTCTGATGAGCTATTAATCATAGCCTGGCAGAGTGCTACCACTACTATACTGCAAGATCAAGATCTTAAATTCTCTTTGGTTGTTTCCTAAAGATACTTTGGCCTCGAATTCCTTATCCTCCAGTCTCTACTTAGCAAATGCTGGGATTGCAGGTGTGTACCACCATGCTCAGCTCACATTGGCTTTGTTATCGAGGCAGTTGACTCTCTCACCTAACAAGGAGTTGGCTCACTCAGGGTTCAGTGGTGTCCTGAAGATCCTTTCTTTCTCTACTCTGTGGAGCCATCTTCGTTCTCTGTCGTAAGAGTAATCCTCTCATCTAACAACAGGAGAGGTTAGCTATCTTTATTCCCAAGAATGGTGTCCACGCCTCTTGTGGCACTAGCCCAAACTCACTAGCAGCTAGAAAGATGGTGGGAGAAAACGTGGCTTAGAAAGAAAACATTCCAAAACTTCCTTTATTATAAAGTTGATGACATTGAAAAACAAATATTAAATCTGGCTGTGCCAAATAACTAATTTAACAGTCAATACTTGAACTTTCTCTTGAGACATTAGCAATATGGCGCTGGCAATGAGACTCGGCCATGGTATGCTAGCGAATCCAAGGTGCATGAGGCCCTGCGTTCAATCCACAGCACTAGTGGGGCAGGGCAGGAGAAGAAACAGGCAAAACACTAGTTCTACATGGATACAGCCTTCTCCCAGGTAACGATACAGTGTGTCATTTTTTTCCTGAAAGTATATTACATTGATCATAATTCTTTCAAATTGATTTTGGTGTTAACAATGTTTTGAATCTTTAAGGACCACTAGACTAGAATTTTGGTCACCTGAAGAAATTCCCATTTTGACTCAATGAAAAGTGGTCATATAGTCATGCACTCGTCAGAGGTCACCTCTGGACCTCAAGGATGCTTCATCTTTTTCTCCTGAAGTGCAAGCGGCTCACAAGTTCTCTGAGTTTCAGAACTAAAGAGAAGTTGCCCAGGTGGTCCTTCCAGTCTCCATAAGCCCTCCGAAACCTGTCAGTGGTCAAGTGGAAATCTGGTCTGCTTGTTTTTAAACAATTGTCGTTTTTCCATATTTCTCTCCAGGAATCCTTGAATTTTCCCAAATAGCTTTCTTTTTCAGACTCTTCCTTCCATATTCCTTCTCCTTTCTTTACGGCTGTCAGTTCAGCCTTAAGTAAGTTTCTGTGGATTTTCCAGTGGGTTTTTGAGTCATAATTTAGCCCTTTAACAAGAACAGTTTTGCCCAAGCCTCTTCTCAAAATTTCCTCATTCAGATTCATGTTAAAGTATCCACCCTGAATAAAAAGAAGGAAACCAATGATCTAATAAATCGTTACTATACTCGTGTTATCTTACTTACCTTAAAATTCAGCATTTTTATCATTTTAGAGAAAAGCAAAAAATATGTATAACACAAAGCTCTTCATGTCAAGTTTGGGGGCACACACTTGCAACCCTAGCATTTACGAGGCTGAGGCAGGAGGATTACTTATTTACTCAGGGCCAGACTGGACTCCAAAATGAGACCCGGTCTCAAACAAAACAGTCACAGCAATAAAACAGGGACCTGGAGATACCCAGCATCCGAACAAAAAGCGAGGCATGGCAGTCAGGTTCATAATCCCAGTGCTGGGGAGGCAGAGACAGGGGAATCTCTGGAGCTCACTGGCCATCCAGCCTAGTTGAGTAAGGGATCTCTGGGTTCAGAAAGAGAAGATAAGTACATGGTAACTGAGGAAGACACCTGACATGAACCTTTGACCTCCACATATGCACACACACACGTGTCAACACATGTATAAATATATGACCCTCACACATAAAATAAGTAACAAAACAGATCAACGAAACAACAAAGGGGAAGAAGAGCCCCAAACAGTTATTGCTAAATTGAAGGATTTTATGTTTTGGCATAATACACATGCAAGCCTTGCTCAAAGTCAACTGATTCTCATTGATCTTTAATCCAAAGAAGCACTGGAATGGTAAGCTATAGAATGTGCCACTTAATTTCTTGACTGTATAAAGGAGAAATAGAGCACAAGATTTGTACAATGAGAGCCCACAACAAAACAAAGAGAACTATTAACTAATAGGTAAATAAGTGACAATGAACTCAACAGCATTAAATTGCCCCTTTAGAACTCTTATTTGACTGATATAAACATCCACAAAATTTTACAATGAAAATTTATATAGTGCCAATTAGTGGTGGCGCACACCTCTATTCTCAGCCTTGGAAGACAGAGGCAGGTGGATCTCTGTTAATTCAAGGATGCCCTGGTCTACAGAGCAAGTCCCAGGACAGCCAGGGCTATTACGTAGAAACCCTGTCTTGAAAACAAGACAAAACAAAAGGAAGAAGAAATTTATATATGAAATACCTTGGTCTTTATACCACATAACCGTGATTAGCAGTTTGAAAAGTTCATTATATATTCAAAATGCCAATTAAATAAGTATTTACTTATGTTAAGAATAACACATGGTCAGGTATTTCTTCACAGTGCTTACCTTGTTCACTAGAAGGTAGCAAAAGAGTGCTGAATTCTCCTTTCCAAGAAGCTGGAACCACAGCAGCTGGGAAGGTTTTAGCTCTTTCTGTAACCAGACCTGACCGGTTTCAGTGAGTTCTACTCCAGCCAGCTTAACCAGCAAAACCCCACGTGGCTCTTCTTAGAAAGTAATATAGAAAGCAATTTAGCTTCAAGGCAGACCACAAAGCAGAGCCCAAAGTCATTCGCCTCCAAACCCCAACACACATTATTTATAAATACTCAAACTCTAAATTTAAGACCACTATTGTATTAAATTTTCTTTTAAAATAATACAAGTATGAACCAGGCGTTTATATTTTATGCCAGACAGGCCTTTAATCCCAACACTCAGGAAACAGGGTCAGGTGAATCTCTATAAGTTCAAGGCCAGCTTGGTCTACATAAGGAGTTCAGGACCAGCCAGGATTGTCTATCTTAAAACCAAGAATAAAAGAAAAAAATTGTCTTGAGGTTATATTGTGGTGAAAAGGCACCATAACAACAGTAACTCTTATAAAGAAAACATTTAATTGGGACTGGCTTAGAGTTTCAGAGGTTTATTCCATTACTGTCATATCGGGAAACATGGAGGCATGCAGGCAGACATAGTGCTGGAGAGGTAGCTGAGAGTTCTATATTTGGATGGGTAGGCAGCAGGAAGAGAACTGAGACACACTGAGCCCTCAAAGCCCACTTCCTAGTGACACATTTCCTTTTACTAAGACACACCTACCTCAAAAAGGCCACACCTCCTAATATATCACTCCCTTCACCTGGGGTGGGGGGAACATTTTTACAAATAAACATTAACCTGGTTTTGCCTTCTGAGTGCTGAGATTAAGGACATGTGCTACCGGGCCCAGCTTTTAATTTGTTTTTTTGATTTTACGGGTCACATTGAAGAGATGACTTAAGTCTTAGAAAATACTTCGAACTTCCGAATACTGTTGGGACTATTAAAAAACAGTTGCATCATGATGTCGTTGCAAGTCTATGAGGGCCAGCGGTAGAATGCTGTGGTTTGAATGTGAAATGTCAGGAGGCTGGAGAGATGACTCGGAGGTCAAGAACACTGGCTGCTCTTCCAGAGGTCCTGGGTTCAATTCCCAGCACCCACTTGGCAGTCCACATCTGTCTATGACTCCAGTTCCAGGCGATCCAATACCCTCACAGAGACATATATACAGGCAAAACATCAAAACACATAAAATAAAAATAGACCATTTTTAAAAAATGAATGTGAAATGCCTCCCACGGGCTCATGTGTTTGAAGACTTGGTGAGGTGGAGACTTAGTGGGGGAGTGTGTAACTAGGGGTGGGCCTTGAGGCTCGTTTGTTTGTTCCAGGGTCTCTTCTCTCTATATAGTCCTGGCTGTCCTGGAACTCAATAGGTAGACCAGGCCGGCCTCAAACTCACAGAGATCCACCTGCTTCTATAGCTGAGTACTGGATTAAAGGCAAACACCACCAAGACCAGCTGGGTCTCGAGGTTTTAAAGGTGAGTTTCACTTTCCAATTCTCTTTGCTTTTTCATAGCGGATGTAATGTGACCGGCTGGTGTCATGCCTCAGCTGCCATGCCTTCCCATCATGATGGACTGTATCCTTTTGGAACTGCAAGCCACAATAAACCTTTCGCCTTTAAATTTCTTTGGTCAGGTATTTTTGTCTCAGAACATGTAAAGCGCCCAAAGAACACAAGAAAAAGAACTTGCCATGGGTCTGACAATTTGAGTTCTAGTTTTAGAACCACTGTGAGAGGAGAGAACCAGCAGGCAGTGGTGGTGCATGCCTTTAACCCCAGCATTTGGGATTAACGCATTTTAATCCCAGAGGCAGGCAGATCTCAGTGAGTTTTAGGACAGCCTGGTCTACAAGGTGAGTTCTGGGATAGCCAGGACTGTAACACAAAGAATTCTTGTCTCAAAAAACATAAGTAAATAAGTAAATAAATAAATAAAATTTAAAAATTAGATTACTGTAAGCCATTGGTATACCAATAAATTCTGAGGTCTGTTCTAATGTCCGAATGCTGCAGCTCGTGCCAGGCTGACGTGAAACTATCCAGCACAGCATGATGACCATGCTGCAGCATAAGAGTCGTGATAAAGAGCTGTGTTATGGCACAGTAGCCACGATAGCCACGTCATCACGCAACGGGATGACAGGAGGGTGCGAGAGCTGTGTCGCTGCACAGTAGTCAGAACGTCTGTGTTATAAAAGTCACGCAAATGTCTCCTGACATAATAGCCCGACCACTTCAAGGAAATGCATGGCAACAGACAACGTCCTAAGACAGGAGGAGTGCCTTGGAATGTACACATTTGTCAAAAATAAAGAAAAAGATTGGATGATTTCCTTGCAACACCACAGTTCTGTGACTATTGCAGGCCTATTTCCGTGGCCACTACATGTAATAAGACTGGAGTGAAAGAACAACCAGCAAATCGCTATTGAAAATGTGAACTATTCTAAATTTTTCATTGCACAATTTTTTTTGTTTTTTGGTTTTTTTTTCAAGACAGGGTTTCTCTGTGTAGCCTTGGCTGTCCTGCAACTCACTCTGTAGACCAGGCTGGCCTTGAACTCACAGAGATCTGCCTGCCTCAGTCTCCTACGTGCTGGGATTAAAGGTGTGTGCTACCATGTCTGGCCATTTCATATCTTTTTAAGGTCATGCACGCATGTGCTTATACCTTCTCATCTATACACACCACAGATCACGTGGGGTATCACAGACGTCATCAGGAAGGAGTCTTGGGAGTTTGTTATTTGATATCTTTTTTGATATTGATAGGCACCATGGCCCAGAACTAGAAAAAACGTGTAGTTCTCCATACCATTATGTCCCACAACACAGGCAGGCTCAACTATGACTGTGGTGACTGAATCACAAGGGTCCCCATAGCTTCATATATTTGAATGCTTGGTCCCCAGTTAGAGGAACTGTTTAGGTGGGGCTTTGCCAGAGTGGGTGTGGCTTGTTGGAGGAGGTGTGTCACTAGAGATGGGCTTTCAGGTTTCAAAAGCCCATGACAGGTCCAGCCTTGCTCTCTCTCTGCCTACAACTTAAGAATCAAAGGTGAGCTCTTGCACCACGCCTGCCTGCTGTCACATGACACAGCATGGTGCTAATGGACCAAGGCTCTGAAACTGTAAGCCAGACCGAGGCTGAATGCTTCCTTTTATAAATTGCCTTGGTTGTGGTGTCCCCTCACAGCAATAGACTAGTTAACTAATACAATGACCAATAGTTATTTGGACCAAACTTTTTGGGTAAAGAATGGCCTCGACTTTTAGGACCTTGATAGTAGTCCTATGGACAAAGTAGAAAGGTCTAGTTGTATTTTATAGAGCAGATAGTAAAACTGGCAAAAAGAACATGAGTGACAGTCTTTTCTTGCTGTTTTTACAGTGTTGAGAATGAAACCCGGAGCTCCAAATTCACTAAGCAAGCACTCTTCCGCTGTACGCCTCCAGCACCAGGGCAGTGATTTAATAACTGTAATGGTCCGTCCTGTTCCTTTAAGAGACAAGCCCTGCCCACTCTCCGCCCCTTTTGGCCTAGGCTAGGGGATCTGCCTGTGCTCTCTGGAGTCCTCTCTCTCTCTCTGTCTCTCTCTCTCTCTTCCTTTCTCCTCCTTCCCTTTTACTGAATAAACTATATCCAAACTCACTCAACATGGCGTGCCTGTCCATCTCTGTCTCTCACGCCACCTCCCACCCGCCTGGGACCCACAGAGGCCTCGGGTTGTGGGACCTGGCTGCGCTTTGTGACCCACTGCGGCCCTCAGGGAACTTCAGCATTTTATCTAAACCATTACAATAACTACCTTTAAGTGAAAAACGTTATGTCCGAGTGTGTGATTACATCATTGAAAATAGTGCTTACATCGTGACTTTCTACTTCCCAAACCATCTTTAGGAAGTTCTTAAAAAAAAAAAATATTTCTGAAAATAAAAAATTATCCACTTCCCAAGAGCAATTTATATCAGCCACACACAAAGTGTTCACACTCTCACTTCTTCTGCCATGGCCACCATCTGTTGGAAGACACTCAGCAGGTTTCTTTCATTTATACAGGAACAGGCATTCATGGAGTTCTGGACGGAATAGCAAAACAAATGGAAACAAAACCAAACCAAACCCCCAAAACCCATAACTACTTTCTAGCTATGTCCTATCGGCTCCATTGGATCGGGAGAGAGCTTATAAAACAAAACACACAAAAACTAAAACCAAAGCCAACCAAACAATAACAACAACAAAAAACCAAGTCAATTCTTTCCATCCAAATTCTATTGACGAGTCAGTATTTTTCTATAGAATGTAAGCATCAAGTTTTGAGGGAAATGTTCATGTCTATGAAGTGCTAATTCTTTAGTAGAGAAGATAAAAACATAAATATATCATATGCATAGGAAGTTACAAGAAAAATGGGCAACTTATAGCCTTGGAAGGCAGACAGCCAATTTCAAAAAGCAGGGTAGAAAAACAAGGCATTCTACAACTGCAGTTCATTTAACCCTCTTCACAGGGGGGTTAAGAAAGTTTCACTAAAGAAAAATAAAAACAACTGAGCCAGATCCCAAAGAATGAATTTAAGTTGTCTGAGCAAAGAACCAGACCCGGGGTTATGCGGTTATATCTATGGAAGAAAGGTGTGTGTGTCTGGGCCCTTTGATACCAAGTGGGGACGACTGATAATAAGTATAGATATGCTGGGTGATGGCGGTGCACGCCTTTAAGCCCAGCACTTGGGAGGCAGAGGCAGGCCGATCTCTGTGTGTTTGAGGCCAGCCTAGTCTACAGAGTGAGTTCCAGAACAGCCAAACAGCCAAAGCTACAAAGAGAAACCTGATCTTAAAAAACCAGAGAGAGAGAGAGAGAGAAATGGTGTGGTTCTAGTCTTCTTTGGCTCCTCTCAACGTTTCTTCCCTGTGACTCAACTACAGGAGCTTCATACAAACTGTCAAAAGATGCAAGCTCATTCCTACCTGCGCTGTTCCTGGCTAGCCCATGCAAAAGTTCAAGTCTGATTACATAATGACTCCTCAAGGAGATCTTCTGTCTGACTACTGTATATGTGTAGATTTCCTTAACCCCATCAGACCTGAATAGTTATCTATCCCAGGACTCTGTTCCTTGTCTTCCTCAATATTAGAATAAATTTTTACAGGCCTATTGTCTTCCACCAAGACTGTAAGCTGTAAACGTTAGAAGGACCATGTTTGTTTCATTCAGCATTGTACGGTTATCTTAGGTCCTAGGCCACCACAGGCTGTCATCATTTGCGGGATGAGCAACCAAAAGTCTAAGTAAAAGACTGGGCAGTCAGCTAAAACCAAAGAGATAAGGAAGACCAGAGCTCTAGAGCCAAACTAAACAATTTCTTTCAAGTAAGGCCATGGTTCAGACTTCCATAGATTATGAAAGAAATCAGAAATTAGCATATTTCTACTCCTTTATAAAGTACATCTAGTTATTAAATACCACAATAATGGTTTCAATAGTCAGTTTTACAATTCTTGTATCTTACTTACTTTTCCACGAAGATATAAAAGGTAAAGTAATAGGAACATGTTCAATTTCTAGACCACGTTCGGTTATCCGGTGTAATCGGCCACGGAGCTTCACTTTCTTTCTTATAAACTCGACTGGAATATCTGAAGAGGCTGTAAATTTTGATGTCTGTTGATTTACAAAGAAAAACATATAATTTTCACTTAAAATGAAAAAAAATGTGAAGATATCTAAGCATTTATCAAGAACACAGAGCCATTGAAAAGTTTTAACTTTAATGCATCAATATTTAATAAGTTTTAGCATTGACACTTTAATATTTAATCAAAAGTGTTTCTAAAGTCTGGAGAGATGGCTCAGCAGTTAAGGACACTTGATGCTCTTGCTCTGGATGTAGGTTTAGTTTCTAGTACCCAGAGAGCTGACACCCTCACCCTCTTCTTGCATCCAGTACACATAAACTAAATACATGCACACACACACACACACACACACACACACACACACACACACACATATATATATATATATATATATAAACAGTAAATAGCTTAAAATGTTTATGGAGAGTTAAAGCTTACTACTTATCCATGTCTATTTCAAGATAGCATATATGAGGTGTGAAATGGGAGTCCTGAGCAAAGCTGTGTCGAATTAAATTAGACTCCTAACTGGTGAGACTTTTTATTATTTTTTAAAATCATTTAGGTGACAACATAAATTTTTAAAAAGAAAAAAAGAGGGTAGACCAACATTGGAGATTTCCTTTTACCCCATCACCTACTTGGTGGCCAGGGTAAGTAACTGTATCATTCACGCAGCATCATGGCTGGCTCAGAACCTTGCACACCACACTGTACATCTTTTTTTTGAGAGGAAAAAATATTTGATGCTATGGCATATTATCTCTGCAAGGGAGAAGAGCTTTATCTATATGCTGGGATAATTAAAATTTCTAGTGTGTGTGTGTGTGTGTGTGTGTGTGTGTGTGTGTGCTACATTGTGTACGTGGATGTCAGAGGAGAACTTTGTGGAGCTATGTTCTCTCCTTCCACCTTCACTCAGGTTCTGGGGATCAAACTCAGGTCTCCAAGGCTTGTGCGAAAGTGTTTAACTGCTGAGCCACCTGAAAGCCCCAGAACTTACTTTTAACTTGGATTCAGAAGGATCACTCTGGATTTTTTGTTTGTGTGGGCATACGTAAAGAACTTATGTAAGTTTGTTTTCAGATTCATCAGCGTGAAAGCCATAAACGGTAACCAGCATTACTGAGATTCTGTCATGCTATGTTACCTAAGAAACTATTCCAGATTAAACTGGCAAGTTGTAACCTTTCAAATTAAATCGATGATTCTATCACTTGACCATTTAAGTTCGATAACTAAAAATCAGCCACATCAGAATTTCTACTTCTATCTCAAAATAATAGTTTATTTGCAAAACACATGAGAAATACTTTTGCCTAAAAGACAAGATGTTATCAGTACCAACAATTCCCTACCCAGACAAGGAAATTAGACAAATCCTAGTTTATTTGGGTTTTGGTTTTGTTTTGAGACAAGGTCTCCTTCTGTAGCGCAGCCAGGCTGACTTGGAACTCACAGGCAGTCCAGGCTGCTATGAGCTTGTAGCAATCCTGCCTCAGCTTCCCTAGCTGCCAGGAATACAGGTGTCAGTCACCATACCCAACTAAATTCCATCTTGTTGACAGAAAACTGAGATCTGTGTACTGAAAGGTTATGGTCTGTGGAACAGCTGAAACAGATCATGGGATCCTAATCACGTGATTAGAGGCAACAGCGATTTAGGACCGGCTGCATAAATGCATAAAGAAAATGAATATGGGGAGGGTATTGGGAGGAGGGGAGGAAGTGGAAATTCTTATAAATAAAGAAAAAAAAAGACAAAGAAAATGTATATGTTATTAACCTGCTTGCTTTTTCTTTACTCCAACTCATTCCTTATATGTAGGCACAGTCATTTTAGCATTTAGGTTAATGGTTCAACAGAAGTCAGAAAAATAACTCTGAACTAATTAGAATGCTATCCAATTGTTATTGTCTCTTATAAGCCATCTATAATATATTCAAAAAGTCAATCAAAGACACAAGACAAGCCACAGAATCTGAAGTGCAAGTTTAGTGACTATACTATTTTAACAAACTAAATCCTTTATGGAACTATTTTTCTAACTCTAAAAATATGATTATGCAAGTAGTCTGTAGAATTAAGTAACTGTACAATTGTGTGACTCTAAAATATAGTCACTGCTCTAAACATTAACCAAGATCTTAAAATATGTTTACTGTTCTAAAACAGAACTTAAAGCCTTGCAGTATGGATACAAGCTGCCTGGAATGGGAATAAATCCACTGCCTGTTGCCCCTGCCAGTTTTGACTCACCAGTCGGACACTCCTCATTAGTAACACGACCCCAGCTATGGCCATTCCCGTGCTGATGTTCTACAGAAAGAGATTTCATGATTGACTTTCGTCAGTTATCATTTATGACAGCGAATGCACTAACTTAGAAAAGGGGAAGGAGACGGCCCTCATGATCACGACCAGTTCAAATAATGCAGCTGCCTCCGATGCTAGCTCAGAACGCTCTGCTGTGTCCCCACCCGCATTGTCCTGTCTTTTTACCCCTTAAGTGTTCCTCCCCCATTCTTCCTTAGAGATCTGGCAGGCACAGGGATTTGCGTGTGAGTGATTTGACCTGGTCTATGAACTCCTTGAATGCACCCCTGACCTAACATTTCTATCTTTTACATCCATGGTGAATTATGCATTTGGTAGAAAACCATGGCAAGCATACTGGATAAACATGTATGTAAATGATTGAATAGTAACATTAATATAGTTAATAATGGTATATGTATTTCTTTGGCACTTGTTACTACTAAATGACAGGTAGACTAAGGATGGGATGAAGCCACAAAGGAAAGTCAGCAGGCACAACCTTGGACCGCAGGCTGCCTAGCTGCCACGCATTTGCAAAGCTCAACTTCCTCAGCTTCTCAGCAGAACTTTTGAAAAATTCTTTCTTCCAATCCATTCCCCTCCCGGCTTCTAGCTGCCTTCTTCCCTAATGGTCTGTCAGCCTTTGGTTCTGTCGCCTTTGACTCCCATCAACACATGGGCAGCTCCCTCTTTGCCCACATCACCACCAGGGCCTTATTAGCAGTCCTGTCCCTAGTGTTAGTCTGGTCATCAAAGCTTTACTTCTTTGATTGCATTTCGGTGACTTCTCATTTCACTTAAAAACAAAACAAAACAGGACTGGGGATATAGTTCAGTGGTAAGCACTAGAATGCTTAAGTTAGTTCGAATCCCAGCCCTGGTGGGGGGAGGGGGGGAGGGGACGGAGAAAGGAGGCTGTGTGAAGTCCTACGGGGCTTCCCTGCTCTCTAGGTCTCCAGGCCGCCGAACGAAACTGGGAGTCACCTGAACCCCTGTGGTGTCCCCAGCCCCGCGCCAGCCCGGCAGTAAGGAAGCAGGCCTGGCCGCCGGGACGGCAAAGGAGGAGAAGTCGCCTCCCTGGCCATGCCGGTCCCTGCCGGTCCTCCTCGAGGCCTGCCGCGAGCACCCGGTCAGGCTAGCCCACCCCGCCGGGTCGCGCGCGGCACCTGGACAAGGCGCAGGTGGCTGTCCGCCCACTGCGACACACGTGTCACCACGTTGGCTTCCCGTTGGTCCGGGTCGGACGCCTGCGACCCGGAGCTCGCCAGCGGCCGCGCCATGTTCCCGCG